AAAAAAAAACATAGACCCGGCTAGAACAAGCGGAGTGATACAAAATTGTGAAAGGGCGTTCCTGTAGCGATACCAGTACAATATCTCACGGGTCTCAACCAATCAGATTTGAGAACCAGAACGAACTGTTGTATAAAGCAATTTATTTGTTAAAGACCTCATTAAACTATAGAAACAAGTTCCTGGCACAGGATGAAAATAAAATGAAATGAAATGAAATAAAATAAAATATATCTAACAATTCCAACTTTTTTTCTCAGAATTCTGAGTTTACGTCTCGCAATTCTGACTTCTTGTAATTGCGAGAGAAAAAAAAAAATCTGAATTCTGAGATTAAAAAGTCAAAATTACCTTTTTTATTTTTTTAATCCTGTGGCAGAAACAAGCTTCCAAATGATACTGTGAGAATGTTCTTGTTTTGTTGAAAAAGGAAGGTAAGCAGGTAACAATTATTATTTTTTTGTTTTAAATTGCCAGTCAAGTTTAGTTTACATCATAACCTTGATCTGCTACTTGCAATTTCTAGTCATCTCAGGTGCTATCAGGGACAATCTCATTCTAAAGAGCATTTGATTGGACAAAAATTTGTATTTTAATGACAAATTTTCTCCAGGAAATGGACAACTGTACACTCTAAAAAATGCTGGGTTAAATACAACCCAGTGCTGGGTAAAATAGGGACAAACCCAGCAATTGGGTTGTTTTAACCCAGCGGTTGGGTTAAATGTTTATGGGTAGTAACCCAACCGCTGGGTCAAAACAACCCAATTGCTGGGTTTGTCCCTATTTTACCCAGCACTGGGTTGTATTTAACCCAGCATTTTTTAGAGTGTACAGTTTAAACATATTTAAAATCTATATTCTAAAATTTGCTAAATTTTTATTTATTTATTTGACTTTTAGGTGTACACTAGCATACAGATAATCTTATAAACATGATCTAAAAGCCACCATGGGCTCTTTAAAACCTATCCACAGTACTCCAGTAAGTATAAGTCATTCTTTAATGTTCTCCATTGGCCAGTAGAGGGACTGTTGTTGTGAATGAGCTGAAAGGTCATCCAGCTCTTGGCTCAGGAATTATTCTATCAATTAATTAGCGAACAAAAAGAACGGCACTCAAACTGTTTGAACATGTTCGCAGGTAAGCAGCTAACTTCTCGGTCACATGTCAACACGGGGACGGAGAGGCTAATGAAGCGCTAAATCAACAGGCCTTAAAAACAACAGAGGCTGTAATTTGATATTGCGCTGATTAAATGGACCTGTTTTACCCATCAATCATAATCTGGTTGTGTATTGAGAGTTTGAGACCTTTAATAATAGGAATGACATGAGCTAAATTGATAATTCATCTTTATAATAACAATAATAATCTTCGATGCGATTCTGTATGCAGAGTGTGCCTTGTGATCTGAAATAATTGTGCTGTGAAAATGGAAAATAAGATCATATGATCAGCATTCTTTCATATGTACTGCGGGGGGATATTTATAGTTATATGTGGGCTTTCTCAAATGCAGAGGGAGAAGTCACTATTCAGCTTTAATAATACATCACTTTATATGGCAACTCAGCTATTTAGGCTGAGTTACACAGCGTTGCCATAGCGCTGGGCTACTTTCAGACAGCTAATGACTTGTGGGAAAGGTGCCACAAAAACCGTATACAAACAACTTAATTAGATATTCTGTTCCCTCCTTGACGTCCATGAATATGATCCCGAATTTCATCTGCATCATTTTATCTTGCTGAATAAATCAAGAATGTCAGAAAGTCATTTATTTCATCTATTATCAGCATCGTACAAACTGATGAAGTAGTTTTGCTTGACATAAGTGCAACCGCAGTGAATAAAATGTACAGTAAATTAAGAGTGTTTGGCTGTATAAACCACCAGTGCCATATTCTGTGTTATTTTCAGACTCGTTCTGGTTGAATTAGTAAATACTGGTGGGAAATCCTCTTGGCATCTCATCAGTGCTGTTTGGAAGAGCTTTTTTGAAGTCGTTCTAACCTCGAGATGTAGGTCTCCTCATGAACTCGCAGTTTCTCTGTGAAGTCGGCCTGTTGAACACACAAGAATTTGTAGATCCATAAAAATGCCAAACTGATCCAATTGCAGTTAGATGAGTGAATCTCA